CTTCCTAATAATCGCCAGTCAGCCCCCCCCCATAGGTTGTTTACGCTGCCCGCGATGCATTTCCTCTTATGCCCTTCCCGCTAATGACTTATTTACATCCGTAGTCTGCCCTGTGCGGCACTGGATGAGCAGGCCTGCTATCTACTTATGCTCCCTATAGTTTTTCTATTTTTGGATACTTCGACACAGTTAGGTAGCCATAACCACGGCCTCATCTCTTCGCATATCCCACTAATGTAGTTCTGCTTTAGTATCTGGCAAAGCAACATCAGCTACTACTATTACCGCCAACCACCACCAGCAGACACTGAAACGCAGGGAACCTTCAAAAAATTCATGGAAAAAGCTTTCTATTAGAAAAAAAGGCATTTGACGGAAGGTGCGTGCACCAATCAGGTTCCGGGGCGTGCTCCTCCAGTTGCGCCTTAAAGTTTAATATAGAGCCATCACGGGTAGTCACATAGCGACAGATGATTGAACGACTCTTTACGGCTTATTGGCCGTCGTTGGGCCCTTGGCTCAATGACCACGGAGGCTGGGTTCGACTCCCGCGTCCTGTAAAGCCCGGGGCTGCTGACAACAGCTGATAAGTCCGAAATGACCATGATTGTCACTCCTCCCTTTGTTGGTACCCTTCTTTTCTCCAAAGTATTCCTTCCTGACTGCTTTGATTAGTTCATTAGCCCTTCGACGCGAAGCCTTTGGTCTTTTGTTCACAGAAAGAGAAGCCAGATATGAGAGTTGTCCTCGTTCTTCCCTTGTATAGTCGAGGTGCGGTGTCACCTGAAGGTGGACAATAATCTCATCTGGCAGTCAAGCTGGCGACCGCCCTCCCCCAACTGTTGGGACAGCGCCACCTCCTTCGAGGTTTCCCAGGCTCGAGAACTCTGGATTCAGGTCTACTGGAAGCGGGTGTACCCCATTTCAAACACCTCCACCCTCGGAAGCAATGCTTCTCGAGCAGAAATCTCCAAGGCCGCAGATGAGAGCCTCCAGGCCGCGGACTGGGTCCTGGCCGCCGTTCAGTAAGCTCGTTTTATCTT